TTTTCCCAGCACCATTTATTGAACAAACTTTCTTTGCTCCAATGCATAATCTTTGCTCCTTTGTCAAAGATTAGTTGACCATAAACCTGTGGGTTTATTTCTGGATTTTCTATTTGATTCCATTGGTCTGTGTGTCTGTTCTTGTTCCAATACCATGCAGTTTTGATGATTATCTGCCTAGAATCTTGTTGCTTAGAGCTTAGGTCTGGAAATCAGATGTTAATCTGAGTAATCACAGTACTTCAACCTTACTGGATATGTAGTTCAAACGCTTAAGTTCTCTGAAATTTGGGTTTTCTCCAATTAAATAAGATAACTATAATATGGACCTATTAGCACTCTGTAAATAGTAAATATGGCACTGTATGTAAAGATTTAGGCCAAAGCTTAACATCTAGAAAGACACCTCCCTTCAAATAGTTATTAATACAATATCATCATCATCATCATCATCTCCATCAAGTCCACTTCTCTTGTCCCATCTGCTTTCTTTTCATTATCCTTTCCCTCTAATTAAATAGATCTTGCTTCAAGACAGGATAGAGAATACAGAAATAAATAAGGCAAGTATATGCAATTTTGCTTTAGGTTCAATAGATAATAAAACTGATAAGCTATGGAATATTTCTGTGTATCTGGTATGGGGCATGTACTAGGACTCAATTGTCAATGAGAAAATTTTAGGTGAGTTGTAGAAAAAAAGTGACACACTACACATGATTTATGCAATTGTGCTGTGGGATTACTTAGCTTTATTACTTAGCAGTATTATTTAGCTTAGAGAAAAGGTCTGTTGCCTTCTCACAATCAGCGATTTAAAAGAGACATTGTTATCAGCCAACTGATGGGTGACCCTAGTGACTAAGAAAAGGGAAATTGAGTTTCAATGTTACAGATGATACACAGGTTCGAGATAGGGTACCATGACAAAGACACTTTCATCTATGTCTCCATTATCATTAGCCAACTGAAATGGAACAAGGAAAATTATTAGGGTTGTGAAATTACAACCAAATGTGTTATTTTAAGAAATACTTAGAACTGATTTAAATGGTATACATCTAAGCCACTTTAATTTGTATCAGACTGAAACTTGGCAGGTTTCTCAGTCCAGATGTAATTTATTTAAATTCCTTTAGTTGTTTTTCAGTTTAGAAATATGCATAGACAAAAATCTTACATGTCTCAATTTTTCCCCTGCACATGCACATTTGTGAATTAAAATGAGTCAAACTATTAATTGGAATGTTATTAAGTTGAACTAAGACTGAATGGGGATTTTCTGGGGGTACTTTGGGTATGGATGTCAGGTGCTTTCCCTTCCAGGTAACTTAATAACCTGAAGTACATGTGAGTATTTTGTTTCTTTTTATGACTCTTATATTAATTTAGAAAGAAACAGGGAGGACTCATACTTGACAGAATATAGTTTTTCCACCAAGAATTCCTCACTGGACCTTTCTGTTCTCCTGGTTCCTTCTCTTCCTAAGGCTCTAATGAATTTCTCTTTCTGTCACTATGCCCATCACTGTTTTTTTTTTTTTTTTTTCCCTGACTCTTGATTTCCACCCTATATGTGACATCCTCTAGTCTCCTACTCCTCCTTCCCCCTGCCCCTTATCATTCAGGGCAAATTGCTGAATATTACTGGTTATTTGCACACTCTGAGTACTTCAGTTTTTGCCTTTAATTATTTTCTTTGGATGGTTCTTTTGAATAAATGTGGGTTTCTCATGAAGGGAGGGGTTGGTAAATAGAATTTTCTTTTTTGCATACAATTGTGCATATACATATTTACTGTATTTTTTAATGTATGCTTTTAGGTCTGGATCATTGTTTGAACAGCCAACTACTTAGGGTTTTTGAATTTCTGAAAATGAATGGGCTAAAATAATAAAGCTATAGTCCTTTGCCTTTTGAAATATTGTGCTGGCATAATAAAATAACCAAGAAAATCATGACATTGGGTCATATGAGTGATCAGTTTGACTTCTGGCTTATAAGATTATATGATTGTAATAATCAATGCTTTGGTTTGCCATTGCTTTGATCAAATGAATTTCTACTGCAGAGGCTTTGTGAAGGCAGGAACTTCATCTGATATGTATACTGCTGTCTCTTCAGGGTGTTGGGCAGTGCATGAAACATAAAAATATGATTAATATGTGAATAATACAGGTTAACATCTTTATTAGTGAGAATAGACTAGGTTATGCTGCTATCCCAAGTAGCCCCTGAATCTCAGTTGCTGAGAAAACTGTTCCTTATCTATGATGTAAGGCCATTATGGGCTGATAGGGGAAGGGGAGGAATGTCTCTTGAGTGTAGTCACCAAGAATCCAGACTGATAACATAGCTGATTCCTGTTCCAGAGACAATAGAGATCTGGAATTTGTTGCTTCAACAATTACATGTTCCAGTCTCAAAGCAATACCATCAATTCTGTGGACATCTCATTGTGTCATTATGGCCTACACAACAATACAATGACCAGGAAGTACGCTATGGGCTGAAAGTGGGAAGACCCAACTTCTTTGAAAGATAAGAGGGTAATTTTACATTAGATGGAGATAATGGGCTAAATGGCCTTAAATGTCATTGTCTGTTGATAGTTATATTATTAGGACAGGTGAACATTGGCTGCATTGGACTACAAGATATTTGGAAGGAAAACAACATGACAGTATTGATATTCTTATTCTATCACATATGTGTGTAGAAAGTCACTTAAACTGGAAAGGGCAAGTATTTCTACCACTCTCTTTTTGGAAAAAAAAAAATTCATCAATGCCTACTTGAGTGCCTTGAACATAATGCATTAGTACATGTTTCAAGCTTATTGAATTGAATTGTAGATAAGTGACTATAATGATTCAATGATTCTAAATTTAGTCCCTAAAAGAACAGTCACTAAATTTTTTCAAAATGGAACATTTATTAATGAATGTGGATTTCCTTTTAATTTTAATGTATTATCATAACAATAATAAAACCAACAAATTAGTAAACAGACTATCTTCTACATTTCTATATTTCAAGTGCCTGGACTGCAGTCAAAATATACCCCTTGAATGAATGAATGAATAATTTTTTGAGACTGTCCCTAATGTTAAATAATAAAATGTAAAAGTTAATTTGGGGAGTTGTTTTTCCCATGAAGTATTTAGTCCAAGTGTTTGGGAGATGGGCACTTGAGTCAGACCACTGGAGTGTAATACCTGCTCTATCACTCAATATCTATATTGCCTTAAGCAAGGTTCTTAAGCCTTTTTGGTTCCTCCATGAGATGGAGATAATAATAATAATAACAACAACAGCAATAGTGCTTTATGGGGTTAGTAAGTGGTTTAAATTACACTTATCAGCAACTTGGTGTAGTATACTTGCATGTGATGAAGGTTTTATAAACTGCTGCTGTTATTGTTTTTGTCTTAATATTACAGTTGATATAAATTTCCTGTATATATTTACTGACACAACAATAATAAACCACGGAAATGAAACATGTAATACCTAGTGGAATTGTGATATTCTTGACTTATTTTTAACTGTGAGATTATTATTTGCTGTTATGTTGAAATTTGTTTAGCGGTAAGGTTTTTTTTTTTTTTTTAAAGATTTATTTGTTTATTTATTCAAGCACTGGGTACGTCAGAGGCTGAGAGAATTCACCAGAGCCAGAGCGGAGAGTAGAACAGGCAGAGTGATGAAGTACACTGCTGAGGGGAGCAGCGGGCGGCAGGAGAGGTCTGCGTGCCATGTGGGACCCTCGCCTGGTGGCCAGGGATTGAACCGGTGCTGCAGAGGCTGCAGGCAGCCTTGCAACCCAGCGCTCAACCACTGCGCCACCGGGGAGGCCCCTGTTTAGTAGTAAGGTTTAATGTGCAGCTGGTATGTTACAGAACATTGCCAAAGTCAAAGACTGTTGGGGAAGACTCATCATTATGAAGGGTCCTTCACTTTTTCTCTGTGTCACACAAGGAGTGAACAGCATCCAAAGACATATCGCAGCATGTGTCTTTTTATTTTTTTTATCATACTTGCAAAGGCAAGAGAATATTCTGAGAGGTTTCAAAAGGTAGTTGAGGAAAGAACATTGTAAGAACTACCATGATTTAGAAAACAATATGAAAGACTAATAGTATGATCTGTTACAGGGAGGTCACATTAAATCTGTTCTCTGTCTTGTCTCCAAACTTCTAACACATAGTAGGTGTTTTATAAGTGATTGGTGAAATAACTGAATGAGTATTTCTGAGAATTAGTGCTAATGCAATCCATAGGAAAAATTAGGTCACCTTACATGAATCATTGATGTTAAGGAACAATTGTATTTCTGGAAAAGATAGTCTTTAAACCATGGTACTAGAAGCAAGAAGTTGAATTTCTGAGTATTTCTGCTCCCTACTCTAGAAAGAAGAGTAAAATTTAAAAAAAAGTGCCTTGAACATGTTTCTTTGTCAAAACCAATATTTCAGTGATGAAAATAACATGTCACTATTTATTAAGCATGTTTAAAAAACCCAGAGGTTTTTACTGTCTTTATGCATATAAACATCTATGTTGATTCCAGATATACCATGTTCCCAGATTAAACTGCCAAAACAATTGATACACTTAAATTTGCATAAACATAGCAATAATTTTGGTTGACTCACTGGTTAAAAGAACGTTAAGAGGTAAGAAATGGTTTCCATTTACTTGACCATTTACTGTTAGAAATCTGACACCCACTACCACTATCAATATTTGCAGAATGCTTTTTTCTTTTTGTTCTCCTTCCCTCTTTACTTTTTTGACTAATGAATGGTATCAGTAAAACCCTAGAGGCTTTAGCATAATATGCCAGGCAGTGTAGGGTTAAAATGCCGCGTGAGTTGTTGAGGAGTTAGTGGGTAGGTATTACAATTCACTGTAGCTGTAATAGAGGGTAATGTCACTTTAAGACATGTGATACTTTACAGAGGAGGGATGTATTGAAACAGACTAATGCTACTTACAGCACCGTATAGCAGTCCTGCTCCTACATTTTGCTGCCTTACTCTGCCCCGAATGCACTGGCGTGTGGATGGTCCATCATTAACTATAAACCGATTCCCATCAGGAAACTGCACATCACTTCAAAGGTCTCGTCAGGCAGAGGTGACGCCAGGAGATGATTTAAAGGTGAAAATGACAAGGTTTCCACCCCTCAAACCTTGGCTCCTTTTCTGACAATACAGTCTGAATGAACTCGATGTCTTCTTTACTGTGGAAATAGCATCAGAAGAAAAAAAACATATTTTTTAATCCTGATAAAGAAGATTATTGGGAGGCTCTTTTATAAAAAATCTTGAATTGTGGCACAGATGGATTTTAGAAAGTGTTAGAGCTTTCCAATGAACACTAATAGAGTACTCTGCTCCGGGCTGGATTTTTCAGGTAAGAAGCCTCTTTAAGGACTTAAGATTCAGAAAGCTGATTTGTAATTGATTCAGTCATATCTACAGAACAATATAAGGCTGGATGCATTATTTGGGGAAAACACCTATTAACAGAGACAACCTCTGGGTAAGAGAGTAAGCAATGAAAGTGGTATACAGGAACATTAGAAGTAACGCTGAGAATTAAAGAAAGTTAAATGAAAAAAAGGGACAGAAAAAATATTGTAAGTGTCAAGTCATACTGATCTTTTTGAGTGCTAACATCTATGTGGGTGATGAAATGAACAAGAGAAAGCAGAATAATTGAAAAACTGGTAAGTTTTGATTGTGGTAGTCTTTTTTCAAGTTTAAGGGAATTCTTAGTGCATTTTAGCTGAAATTCACAAGTAGTCAATGCATGCCACAGTCACCTCTGTTTTGTCTTTCCATGATTTGCAGGGTATTCTGAAAAGGCTCCCAAATGTGTTTATTTCAGGACTCGTGGGGGGGGGGAATGTTGCTATTTAGCTTTACTGAAGAGAAATGCATCTATGTTTTACTAGATAGCTTTGAAGACAATGAGTCTGAATCTGTTGTATACAAAAGTAAATAGTGGGCAGTGAAACTAATTATAAAGTGAATGGTCCATCTGAACCACAGACTTGAGCATGAAAGGCACCATGCTGTTGAAAATAATGTTTTCCTAGTTTGCACTTAATTATGGTTGTCACCATTTGTCTTTTATAGCCTTAGAACCTTTGTTAAATACTATATCTGTCTCCTAAAACCCTTAAATTATCCTGTATTATGTCTGTGTATACACAGGCACACATGTATGTGTGTGTATAATGTGTACATTTGCTTTCTGAATATCAGTTTTTGAAAGCATACCAATTTCCCTGAATAAAGAAGCCACACTGGGAGGGCACAAGTAGGTTTTTAATCTATAGTTAAAATACTCAAAGTGTATGATTGGACACAAAAACAAGAAAAGAAATAAATAAGGGAACAATCTTGGTTAGGAAGCTGTATGAGAAAAGAGCATATTCTTAACTGGATTGTTATATGGGAAATGCTTCCATATCACTGACTAAGGGCGATGCTGCAAGTTTGATTAATTTGGCAATATGAAATGCAACATAAGGTGTTGTGTGAGAAATTGGACAATATGTAGTGCAATTGAGGCTCTGTAGCTCTAAGATCCTTACAGGTGCAGATAAGACTGTCAAAGTTTCAGCGCCTGAGAAAAGGTGTATGTTCATCCATAAATACATACACCACCTGTATATGCATATTCATCAATGCTATACAACAAATGCCACAAAGGGATCTTGGGCGGCCAAGCAATATTGCAAATTATGGCTCTCTCTAGGATAGAAGCATAGTTCTTACATCTGAAACTCATTCTGGGGAAAGACAATTCCGTCTGATTTTAAGTCCAGCCAAAAAGACCGGTTCTATTAGGAGATTACAACATGCCTCTGAGAAATGATTACTTAGTTTAGAAAACAGCATCGTGATTAAAAATTCATGACTGTAGAATTTAAGAAAAAAAAAGTCAGGCTTATGTCAGACTTGCAATGAAGTTAGAATGAACAGTCAGACTTGCAATGAAGTTAGAATGCTGGAGATAAAGATCATTGTGTGAAACAGGCAGTGTTTCAAACTGCCTACTGGTAGCCCAAAACTTAGATTTATTTTTGTATTTTGGCAGTTTGAATTTTGGTTTTGCAGAATTTAAAAAATGAATTCATGATCTGCTCCAGAGTGCTTTCCCTCAGTCTCCCTTCATGACATGACCTCTGCCGGGTCATTTATTCCAGACAACAAAGTAGTAAAAGGACATGACTTCTGAGAAGCCCTTTCTCTCATCAGCAGAACTAACTGAGCTGGGAGTTTGAAGCGGGGATAATCTTCCTGTTTAATGTTCTTTTTAGAGAATGGCAATGGTCTCTGCGATGTCCTGGGTCCTGTATTTGTGGATAAGTGCTTGTGCAATGCTGCTCTGCCATGGATCCCTTCAGCACACTTTCCAGCAGCACCACCTGCACAGACCAGGTAAGTCTGGGCGGCTCCACTGCAGCCTGGGATCTCACAGTTGTCTCAACAGATGGTTGAATGCAAGTGACAGAAAGTGCTACCATGTGGGCAGCTTGCCTTTGAATTCCAAGACATATTGTTGCCTGGAGCCTTTGGGGAAAGGAGGGGTACTAAAATGTCTTGAAGGTGTTTCCTTTAACTTCTCAGAAAAGGTGGTTTCTTTCTATGCGTTTCCCCATCCCCTTTCACATACCTTACAAAGTAGAAGTGTGTCTTTGTATACTGACCATTAGGGAAATATTTTGCAAAAGGTGAATAAACGCTCAAGAATTTTTAATCTGATCTTGAATTGATCTTTGCAGCCAATAAAATAATCTGCATATATTCCTGGGATGCATTTTATCTATTATGGATGCCATAATCTTGTTTGTGGTTAAGGATGTTGAAATTAACTTTGGGAGTAGTTTGTCAGTGAAAAAGGAATTAAAAAGTAACTTACTATTTGTCTGGTTTAACTTGTCTCCTTTCCTTTCTCCCTTCCTTCACTTTCTGTTCTTCCAGTACGCTTGATGGCTTTTTTTTTCCTCTCTCTTTCATGACAGTTTCAGGGACAAGTTCCCTTTAGTGAAATTCCACCCCCCCTCCTAGTGATCCCCCACCCCCACCCCCATTGAATTTGTATTCCAGACGCATTTTGCTTTCTTCTTTTCTGTTGAAAGTTATTTCTTACACTTTCATGACCTCACTCTTCATTCTGGATTTTTTTTTCTCCTTTTCCTCTTCCGCTTTCTCATTAAGTTCGCCTAGCCTAGCTCAGTCGGCCTTACTCTCACTGGTTCTCCGAAAGATTTTCTTCCATTTTCTGTTTAGCATCAGCCTTTGCATCCATTTACTCCACCCTCCACCTTCACCCCTCCCTCCCCCGCTCCCTCCACCCCATCCCAAGCCGCTTCCCAATCCTTACTCCGCAATGGCCAAGTTGGTGCTCTGGGAACCAGTTGCACGCCCAAGCTCCTGATCCTCAGTTCTGGAGTGTTCCCCGCCCTCCATACCCGGGTCCAAATCTCCTGGTTTCCTTCTCTCTGCTCTACTTCCTCCAGCTGCGTGGTCTAGCTTGTACGCCTTTGCCTTTCCCTGGGTCGGCCGCCAGCTGGGCACGACCCTGAGCTCTTCTGTTTAGTCCTCCAGCAACATATCCAGGGGCACAGCCTGCTCCCTCGCTGTGGGCTGCGCTTCTAGGTTGGGGACCGCGACCCCAAAGTCACCGATCCGCTCTGATTTGCAGACTAACGCACCAGTCTGCAGGTTGCTGGAGCCCGGGAGACCTGGAAGGAGGGGCGGGGCGGCCGGAGCTAGCAGCTGGGCCGGAGGCTGCTTCCACACCCCAGCACCTTCATTCCTTGCCTTTGGTTGGGGAGGAAAAGCGAGGGGGCGCTGGTGTCCCTGTAGGTGGGCATGGAAACCGCGCTGTTGCTGCTGCGCACTTGTTTTCCTGCTGCTTGTGTTCCGAACACGGAGCGGGCACTGCCAGACACCGAGGTTTCCCAGCCTGAGATGGAAGTAAAAATAATCGTGGGTTTTGGAATACTGACGTTGCCTTGGATCTGTTCTGGCATAAATGTCTTTGGCTTATTACATAGTCATAAAAATAACACGGGGAATCTGCATTCATTGTAATAATAAGAATTTATAACAAAAAACACTGTTATGCGTGTTTTAGACATGCTGTGAAGGTTAAGTCACATTGTTTAGCTTAAACCTAGAAGTAGAAGTTGCTGTCTCCCTTGCCCTACCTTTCTGCCCCGGAGACTGTAGTTCTGACTATTGGGTGACTTGACTGAGCCCACACAGCCAATAGCTGCCATTAGAAGTCGGGTCAGTCTGATTTCAAGCCAGAAACTTATTTCCCAAAGACAGTGCATTGTCTGAATACACAGAAGAAGGGCGTGTTTAGCTTCTCTGAGAAAGTGCAAACAGAGCCTCTTCGCATAATTTGTGAAAACTTTCAAATCATGTCAATATTTGGACTTATTTGAACTGCATACCCATTTTAGAGGTGGCCACCTGGAAATCTGAGTGGTGGCACTTGGTGATTGCAGAGCTCAGCGTTAGCAGTGGTTTTTGTCACTGAACATTAGTGACATGACCTTGGCTGAGTAACTTTTTTCTAGGCAGTTTCTCATCTGGGAATATTGTGGCTATGTAAATAAAATAATTGTCCTGGGAGTGCTTGATAACCTGTAAACCTCTTCGTATATATTAGGAATTACTGAAACCCCCCACTTAATAGACTAATAAAATGCATCTCAGAGGTACCAAATGTGTGGTTTTGCTGTTCACACAGCTAAAAATCCATACAGGCAGTACACAATCCTTGTGCTTAATCTTGTGATTATTTTTCAATTGTTTATAATCTACCACCTAATGCCAGGTGTCTTATTTTATGCTTGATGCATAAAGTCATAAAATATGGTACAGTTTGCAGTGAACTTACATTTAGACTTGTCTCTCTCAATTAATACATGAATTATTTTTGGTGGGAGGCTAAGGCTATGCTACTTGAATTAAGTAATTCAAGTCTTACGGGCTTATTATCAAAATATAATTTTTAAACTGAGAAAACACATCATTAGGTTCTGAGTGAAATTAAACTCAGTATTTTCCCCCATTGTCTCCCCTTAGAAATTGCTTATTATCATCAAAGCATAGTAGAGCTGTATGTCAAATAACCCAAGAAACTGCAGCAGCGAAACCAATTTCAACCCCAAGTGCTTACACATTTGAGACCCATTTCAGATTCATTGATGGAATGAAGAAACTATAAATATGCCTTTCTAGATGCAGAAAGATTAAAATGATATTAAACAGAAAGTCCAATGATTCTATGTAATGCGTTTATTCAACTTTTTGGGCTTTCAACAATAGCTGCAAAGATTAAAGCGATAGATCATGGACATAGCAATATTCTAGATTATTTCAGTCAGAAATACAATTTTCTTTAATACAATCTTCTGTTTTGATTGTGTGCTTTTCAGAGTGAATGTGTGCTTTTTTGGGATGAGCGTTGTGATATATCCCTTTGTGGATCTTAAATCTTCAGGGACACTAATGAAATGTGTATGAAAACAAGAGAGAAATCAGGGCCAGTTATCTGCGACAATCCACCCCAAATGAGAAAATAAATAAATAAATAGCTGGACAAATGAACAAAAAAGGAAAAACATAATCTCATTTTCTTAAATCGGTTAAAACAAGTGACATGATGAGAAAAAATGAGACACCAGCAGACCCTGAGCTTTGCCACATTTGCCTAAGCTTGAAAAATCGCCTCCTTCCTAAAGCAGGAGCAGTCAGACACTGCGTGCATACCAAGTATCCAGGAAATGGGAAAAATGACAAATCTTTCGCTCAGAGTCCTGACTGGGTGGAGAGGGAAGGCTTTACAGCTCTCTCCTCACCTGCTTAGGAGCATTGCACCCACCCCTGCCTCTTATAGGTAGCTTCCCCATCCCCTACACAGTAAGATTGATGGTGCTCCGATCCCAAGCAGCCAATTTCAGTCTCTCAAGAAATAATCCACTACACTGACAGATGAGTGGAATTTGACGCGATGTTCCCCTCGTTCAGTTTGTGCACACCTGGATGGCACCAGCCAGTCCAGGTCCTTTAGGAGAAATAGAGATTTGGACCAATTTCTGCTGTCAAAACATAAAATCAGGACAGTGTTTTTGTGATGACTTGAATTTGTGATGTTTTCTCAATGCAGTGGGTTTGTACACAAATAGAAGGAGAATATGTTAACTAGAAAACTGACTGATTTTAATGGATTCCCCCGCAGTCCCTTGATGCTTCCTATTTCTCATATTTATAGTATTAGGAATGCACCATTTATTTTCAGTTACTCACTTGTTAAGGAAGATTAAAACAGTCAATCAAATAAAAGTGAATTTTAAAATTACATAGAAGAGTAAAATGTGCTATAGATTAATGGATTTCTAATTATAAGAAGTTACTATTTTGCTAACTCAAGTTTTTATTTGGGAAATGATGTAGGAAATTATAGCAATTTGAAGAACATTCATGCCTTTTTTTAAATGCATAAAGTAAAGCTAGAAGAACACTTAATTTAAAAAAAAGACTAAATAATCAAAGCTCCAAAGTGGTATCTGTTGTTTCAGGTCAGTAAAACAGACAGTTTCCAATCTTTATTATCACCAGTTGTATCACAGGTAAAAAAGGATAAATGGATTGTTACTATAACTTTCTGATTTAGGATTCATTTTATGCTGCTTATGGGATATATGAGTTGTGACAACAATTTTAATGATTAATTTCCTGTGTGGATGTATACCTGTATTTATGTGGGTGTGTGGGGTGTCTTTAAAACTTAATAAAATAGGGATCACTTCAAGGTACTTTAGTGAGAAAAGAATCTTGGAATTCTTTAAATATTTAACATTATAAAGATAAATTACATGAGACCAGAGTTTACATGGATTAATGAATCATTTGAGTCACTACTGTCTATTGACAGGAGTAGATGGAAGTGATATATAAGATTACTGTCAATAGAATTATGTATGTAAATATAGACTGATTTAAGGCTTTATTAAGCAAACAATGTATTTAGAGCTATCTATTTATAACTTAGTTATTTCATACTAAACATCATTTAAAAATGTGGTATTTTTGGTTAAAATATTAAAAAGCATTGTGATATGTTTTATATATTTTTTATTTGCTGTTTAACATTACTTTGTTGGAAACTGCTTAAGGGATATGCATTAAAAGGCCAAGGTATGTTACAATAAAATATTACTTTATAATTGTAATGTAAAAGAAATAGTGAGAGCAGCTGTGGTTTTGTATTGGCTTTTTAAAAATGCACACCAGTACTGGATTGCTAAGTGTAGTGAATTGGCCTAAGGATTAAAGCAGACAGGTTGTTATTTGGTGTAAGCTGGTGCTAGTGATAATCCATTGATCATCTGATTGATGATATTGACCTCATCCCAGAGTCAGAGTGCAGCTTTGGACATTTTGGTAAAACCCCACTGCATCAAAACCCAGTAGAGAGGCAAATAAAAATTCCTGTTGATCCCATGAACTTATGAGATAATTATTAAAATTTATATAAATACTGTTACTTATGTGAGCTCAGCCTTGGCTTTCATTAATAATTAAGGAAAGTAGGTATCATACCATACTGAAACCACATATCTAGAAGTGACATAAATGAACATTAGCCTTCAATTGTTAAGTTTTTAAAGTCTATTTGAGATGACACATTGAACCTTTTAAAACTATTCCAATTTTAAATTGTGTAAAAATCAAAGCTTCAGTGTATAAATTGGTCCACCATTAAAAAAATTTGGGCAGTTTCTCCTAAAATACAAAATGTGTAAGTCTGAACACAATTCCATTTCCAGATATTTATTGCAAGAAAATGACTGGGACAGGTCTAAATGGTTAAGTTAGCCATTGCGACAAAGATACTAATGGTAATAATTAGTGGGGAGTTTCATCTCCAGCAAAAGGGAGGGAATCTGTAAGTTGAATCATTGTACATTCGCAGATGATGGGATTGAATGTAGTCACTGCAAAGGATGAGATATGTTTATATGGACTCACGTAGAATAATGTCCATGATATAGCTGAGTGAAATAAACACAGAATGCTCAGCTTCAAAATAATTTTGAAGAAAAAAAATACTTGTACATGCATCAAAAAATGTCATGAAGGGTACAGATATCCTCTATGATAGTTAAATCTGTTGGGATGACAGGGATGGCTCAGAGTTTTTATTTAACATTCTATTTATTATATATTCTTAAATTCATTTTAATATGGATATATTACTTTTTAATAAGAAGCTTTTAATAGCTATAGAGAGTTTTTGTGGTAAAATTGGAAATATATCAAACTGAGTTTCCAGTTTAAGGAAAAAGAAAGAAATAGAGGTGGAAAAATATCACAAGTTCCTTTTCTTTCTAAAAGCCTTAATCCAACAAAAAGCTTCAGCCAGTATTTCCCAGGTTGCAAAACACTGTCCACTCACTTGCTCCTTGGAAAAAAGCTATTAACTGTTCAAAGTGCTCACTGCATTGCATGTTCTTTTCTCAGAGACTTGAAGTACATGTGTGTAAAAGCTCTGGAAATGTCTTCAGATAGGAAACCTAATTGTGTTTAACTCAAATTTTCCAAGCATTGTCTAGTTGGGTACCATCTACAATTCCAGCATGACATATTGATCATATGCATATGGACCAAGATTATCCTAGAACCCTGTGTTGTTCTGTTTATCTCTCACTTTTAGTAAGGAACTTGAAACTGAATACAAATTCAGAAAATATTTGTTACATTAGTCGGAGAAGAAGGAAAGTTTGCTCTGGGA